AGAGCACTAAATCTCTCTTAATCTAGTATTCCCAAATTCATGAATTCCTTTTTACTCAAATAAACTTTTTAAGATTTTATTATGCCTTGGATTTTTTCTTTTAGTGTTATTCCTTCCTTAAAAGTTTGATAAAATTCACCAGCAAAGGTATCTAGATCTAGAGGGTTGTTTTTTTGTATGTTTGCATGTGGTAAGCTTTCTTGAAATTACAACTTCAATTTAAAAAGTTGATATAAAAATGTGCAGGTTTTAAATTTTTTTTCCCCTTGTGATAGTCTTGATAACTTGTATTTTTCAAGGATTTGTCAATTTTATCCAAAGTTTTAAAATTATCCCTAATTGTTGTTTTAATATTTTTTGCTTGATAGATTTAACCAGAGTTTTATCATTTTATTGATGTTTTCAGAGAACAATCTCTTGGTTTTAATTGGTTTACTTCCAGTATTTGTTTGTTTTCTCTTTTACTGATTTCCATTTATATCTTTATTATTTCCTTCTTATTATTTTGGGTTTAATTGACTTTTCTTTTAGAGATGCTTAGAAGGGAGCTTAGATCTCAAAGGTTAGACTATTACTTTATTCTAAAACAATCATTTAATGCTATGCATTTTCCTCTAAACACTGCTTTAACTTCAACCCAACAGTTAATATGTTACATTTTCATTATTTTTCAGTTTGAAATATTTTCTAATTTGTCCTGTAATTATTTCTTTGTCCTATGGATTATTTAGAAATGCACTGTTTAATTTCAAAATGCTTGCTCACTTTAAATATATCATTTGTATTGATTTCTAATATAATTCTATAGCCATCAGACGATATGTTATGTACAATTTCACATTTAGCAGGACTTGGTTTGGTGAATGTTCTATGTCTACCTAAGAGTTTATATTTTGCAGTTGTTGGGTGAATATTGCTAGAAATACCCACTAACATATTTGTTGATAGTGCTATTCTTTATTTGTCTGATTTTAGTCTCCTCGTCCATAATTTACTGAGAGTGGAAATATTAAAATAGTTAACTGCTCATGTTTTCTTTTTTTCCCTATAGTTATTTTATTTTCTAGTATGCTCTGTGGTGATTGGGTACAAACATGTTTAGAATTGCTGTCTTCCTGATTAATTCTTTTATCATTAAAAGTCTTCCTCTTTATTATAATATTTTCATCTTTGTTTAGTTTCCCAATAACTTGTAATGTATGGTTAAAATTATGGTATATCTTTTTTCTGTCCATTTACTTTTAATCTACCAATGCCTTTAGAGGTTTTATGTTTAGAGTGAAACTCTTATAGAGAACAAATAGTTTGGTCTTGTTAGGTTTTTAGTCCAGTGGAATTAGATCAAGGAAATCTACCCAGAGTAAAGAGTGCTTTGTCCTAAAACAGCCCAGAAACTAGTAGAAAAGTGAAAATTGTTTTATAACTACAGTAATTTCTTAACTATCCAAATGACCTAAATTTAGCTATTTCTTAATTTCTAGTGTCACATTTTTTTGACAATTCTGATTGAAGAATATATTCTAGGCATTGAGAGAGAAAGTCACTTCAACCTTTAATTTTGTACCTTTTGGGGTAAAACAAGCAAAAAATATCGAATCAATAATTTCTGATTGTTTCAGTTTAGACCTCTGTCTGTTACTGAAGATGTGTTCCTTGGATAATTAAGTACTTTGGTGATAATCAAGGAGATAAAATGCTAAAGCAGAAATACAAGATTTTATTATTTTCCAATAACCTGCAGTCTTTAGGCTGTGATGTTCCTACAATTAATACTTTCATCTCTGCAAGGCCAGCATACATTTGTTTTGTTACACATCCATCATTGCCATTGTTTTGAAAAAATAAAGTCCCCTGTTACTCTGTTATTATAACGAATTCTCCTTCAATGGGCAGGGCATAAAGTGCCCCAAAAAGTGCAAACTCGTGTTTTAACCAGCAGGATTTCCAGCAATTTTAATACATTTTCAAAAAGAAAAACAACCAACTGTTTTTACCATTTCTGCATAAAATGTGGAGATCTAACTAGTCTTCAGATAATCAATTTCCATGAACTACTAATAACAATTATAAGACTAGGTGAGTCTCCCATTCTCAGCAACTCAATGACTATGTGTAAGCTAAAATTTTCATTAAAAATAATCATCTCAAGATACAAATCCTGAGATCATACTGTTAACTTTTATGCATATATTGTGTGCTATCTTATCAGGCACCTAATAGTACAATTAAAATTTATCACAGAATTTTTATATGGTATATGGGAATTTAAAAGTTCACCTCAGAATTTAGTTTCTAAGTTCTTAACCTAATGTGGAAAAATGGTTTTTAAAACTTACAATTACAGAGTGGGGCTGACTGACTTTTTTGAGAGAGTTTTCTAAATGATTAGAAGAATATTAATTTAAATTCAGGCTTCAAGAAATACGTTGGATGGTAAATTAAACTGTTATTCACAAAACTCTCCTTAAATTGTGCTCGAGTTTTCTAAATATAATAGGTTCTTTGCCATGCTGTGTTTGAAACCTAAAGAGCGAGATTTTATTGTTGTCTTCCAACTATATATTCCCATGCCTCTGACTTTCACTCACTCTGTTTTCTGATTTTGACCAATATAAAGTTCTTATTAATATATCACTTGTTAGAACAATGGCCCAGGTCCCTCTTGGTAGTGGAAAAATCTAGATCATGAATCTTGATGGACGAAGATGTCACTGCATAAATATGTAAGATGTCCTTAAGCCGAGAGATCTGTCATTTTGGCCTTATTTGTCAGCTACAGAGCAGCAGAGCTGGTCTCCCGAGGCCCTGAGGCTCCAGGCTGAAGTTTTCTTCTGCAAAGACTTTCACACAAAGCTGCCTATGGACCCTTTCCTCCCTGGTTATGTCCTCCAAAGAATGTCCTGCAAAAGTGAAAGACAAAGAAGCGCTACATAAAGTATACAAAGGGAAGATCCCAGCAATCAATACTGCTTGCAATCCTAATCTCTGCAATAGGGAAGGGCAAGATATAGGGGTAGAAGATGGATTTAGATATGTTTTTAGTTTAGGAATAAATCATACTTTAATTCTATTGTGTGGAATTTTGCCTCTTGCTATTAGATATGAATACAAATCAGAGGTCAGAGCTAAAAATTTAGGCTTAGAATAATTTTCTCATTTGTCCAATGTAATGCCTGTCTCTCAAACATTTAAACATTTTGAGATAAAATGTGTGAAATGCTCAGCATAAATTTTTAAAGCTTGCCTTTTATGAGAATGATTACACATAATACCAAATAACTGCAATTTATGGTTCTCTGGGAAAACAGGAGGAATCAAATTATTCATGAAGTCAGATTTAACACGGTTATCAATGGGCTATAGGAGAGTCACTGACAGGTAAAAATGCTAGCCGTCAACACCAAGCAGATAATGTGACCTTAAGTTCCTTTATGCTCTCTACAGCTCCTGTAATTGAGCCTGTCTTCCAAACTCAAAATAGAAAGGCAGTGAGAATATGCAGTGCCCATAACTTAGTTATATTTAGGGAAATGAGACTTTGCCACCATTTGCTCTTGTGAATGTGAGGGAGAGTATTTATCAGGGAAGTGGGGTTAATGTAAGGGATGTTGCCTGAAAAATTGAATTGTAGAGAAAAAATAAATAAAAGAAGGCAAATAAGTCATCCATATTTAGAAGAAAGATTTTATATCTTATTTTCCTTTTCAGTAACAAGCGTTGGATGTAGCAGCTGGAATTTAGGCAAGCTTTCAGCATTTTTTTTTGTCTCTTAATTTCATAGTCTTGACATTTTAGAACAGGGAGGGACACTGAGTTCTATAAGTCAGTGTTCCTCCAGGCAGACATTTTGCACAAAACTTCTCTGACAGTTATTCAGAGTCCACTGGAACCTTCTGTGTGAACACTTCTCTCCCTCCTGAGGCAGACTGTCCAACTGTTACTGTCCAAAGTCTGCCTCATTTTGATCAGAGCTCTCCTTAGCATCTATTCTGCAATGCTGACTACATCCTTTATAATGACAGATGATGACCCTTCATCACTGGGAGAAGGGCTCCAGAATCTTCGCAAGTCCCCTTCTCCAGACTAAAGAGCTATTTCACACCCTTTGCCCCAGAAAGTGTAGTGGAGTGAGCAAAAATGGCTCTTACTCTTGTTTAGGTCATTGTTCCCTTGGAAAATCAGATGCACTTGAAGAAATTTCTCCTCTCCCTGAAGAAAATGCATATTATGCCTGTGGCCTTAAAAATGGGCAAGTAACTCAGGGCTCACAGGACAGGAGGCCAAGAAGCCTTTGGACTCCTAGTGGCACTTGGGATATCTCAGGGAACAGCAGAGGCTGCAGACCAGCATGGGCTCCTAGAAATCAAAGAGAAGTGGTTGGCTGAAGGAGCCCTCAGCACAGGAAGAATGGGGACATTTATTTTACAAGTTTTAGTTCTTTTTAATCAAGCAATGCATTTCAGAGCGTTTTGTTTGGAAAATGGAATGGCGACAACTTCTGGTTGACTAAAGGCTGGGGATATGCTGAGGATGTTATTATGAAGCTGTGTGCACTTGAGTGTTCCATTTTCCCAGAAAGTGCCAACAGGGCCAGTGTCACCCACCAGCCCAGCAGGAGACACTGTGACTGGCTTCCTCTCACCATCCTGAGGTGTAATGTGGTCATCACCATCACGAGAGCTGCCAACTCTCATTACACAACAACTTAAGCTTCAGAATTACTATAGTGATACTGAGCCCCAAAAGAACCAGGGACGGAATAGTTTTATTCCCATTTTAGAGTTGAAGAAGCCAAGCCCAAGGAGATAAATGACTTTTCAGGACAACAGGGGCTGAGGGTGTCTAGATACGGCTGGCTGGATGCCCTAGCTCCCCATCCAGTCTTTTTTAATCTGCAGAGCTAACCCTTGTTTATCCACCCAATGAGGTGAGTGTTAATCTGTGTCACAACCCTTGGCCTTGCCAAAACCCGTTTGTTCCAGGCTGTCTTTGCATTGCAGGTGATTTTGAAACTCCAGGATGAATGCTTTAACTCCTGGTCCCAGATGAACCAGAGGGCCAGAGAAGGAGCAGCCTTATGAAGAGAGGTGACCGATGAAAGGAGGTGATCATGTTCCTTGGGTCGGGAGATGCTGTTTGCTTGACTCAGCTTTGGGGAGGACAAGTTGTCTTCCTTGAGCTTGTTCAGGATCCAAGAGTCCAAATTCCTGCCTGTGTGGTTTGAACCCTGAGGCTGAGAGCCAGATAGTATCTAACAGAAACCAGATTTCTCAAGAAACGCCATTTTGCCTCTGGCCTCACCCAAGAACTATAAGGATGCCTCCCAGCTCCAGAAAGCCCCTCAGGGTTTGGGGGACTGCAACAGGAACTGGTGACCAGCTGCGTGGAACCCATCTCTTCTTGTAAGTGTTTAATGCCAGGGTCTGCTCTGTTCTACCAACATCTGCTCGATAATCATGCTCCTCTCTCCCACTTTTGACCTTGAAAATAAGGCTGCTCACTCAAAGCTTCAGCAGTGAAGTTCAGTCACAGTGAGGAGGAAGGCAGCTTCTTAGGCACTGCGTGGAAGGCTGTCTGTACAGCCAGGCCTCTCTCTACAGGGACAGGAGGCCATGTCCAGGAGAGGCCCATTAATCTGCTAGCCACCACTTCTTCCTGGGTCTCCAAACAGCTCCAGGACATACACTCCAGGCCACCAAGTGCAGTGTGACTTTGGGTTAGAGAAGAAGAAACACAACTGGGAAACCTTGGAGAGACACTGAGGCTTGCCTTGGCCACACCCTACATGACAGAGGACACAGACACTACCTTGTTGATCCTACCAACAAGGAAATGGGGCAAACTATCTTTTCAAAAGCTGTCAGTGAGAGGTTCAGAGTTTGAGGAGGAATTAATGACAAACTGACATTGAAAGAAAATGTAGCTGATTACTTTTTCAAAAAAGCCTCCTAGAATCCTTTAGGAAGATGACAGATGTCATCATTCCCTTTTCAATGTTCTTCGAGTCATCTGACTTTAGCCAGGACATAATGCCCAGTTGGGTGTAATTTATTTGCATGAGCCCTCAGAAAGGCCTGGATGGAGAATAGAAGTGGGTTACAGGGGCCTCAGCACTGGGTCCTGCTCATTGGCAGCATGGAGCCTCAGCACATCACACACTCCCTGACATGCAGCGTCAGTACTCCTATTCCAGTCTTCCGTGATGGCAGCTGAACACCAGCCATAGGACAGGTCTAGAGAATGATCCAATCTCAGCCTGTGCGAGGCAAAGCCAACTCACTGTCAGTGGCCATTGAAATCAAGCTGCCCAGCTTTCTTGCAAAGCTGGTACAACAGGGATATTAACAATGGGGGTAGCCTTTCCTCCACTCATGGGCTTCCGTTACAAACGGAGAGGTGGCTGAGGGTGCCATACAGAGGTACAGAGATGATTTGAGGTGACACGGAGATGGGCAATGGCTACAAATGAACTCATACAGTGACAATGTTGTTCCCTTTCCTGTCCCTTTGCATTGTCCTTACTTCAGCCAGGACCATGGTCCCAGATGGTATTAGTCTTGGATATCTTTCTAATGCCATCTTCAGACTCAGCATCTTCTACAGACAAGCTGGCAGTTAATTGCATTGTTTTGTGTTTGCTGTGTTTGTTTTTATAGTGATTATTTCCTATTTATGTCCAGTGATACTTATTTTCCATTTATGAGTGGTGTGAAACTTTAAAATCAATGTATTATTTTATGATAGGTAATCAATTGAAAGAAAAATATTATTTAAGTAGAGGACAAGAGGTGCACAAAATTCACCAGACTTTGGAAAACACTGGTACAAGACCACCAGATGCAGACTTGAACTTGAACCCTGGCTCTGCCATTTCCTAATCATGTAGCCTGTGCAGACTACATAATTATTGTTAATTATATGAGATAAGAGGCGTGGGAGTTCTCTGTGAACTGCAAGATAATAGTCAGTGATTACTTACCATTGCTGCAATTCAATCACTTCATTGGAAAGTACTACAACTTAGCCACGTTTGCAGTTTTTCTTGTTGCTATGGCCACTGCGGGTGGGCAAAGGGTCTGCAGAGAGCTGTCAGCACCTAGATACTGAAGGATCCCCTCTGGTTGAAGTTCCTGCCAGAGAGCCCAAACTCTAGCCAGGGCAAGGAGGGGAGGTTGCCAATCTGCCCAGCACAGGACTTGCAGAGTTACTGTCAGGCAAATGGCTTCCTGATGGTCACAGGGAGACCTGCTTGTCTGTCAGCTGGGCCAGGGGAGGGTCCCTGACAGCAAAGGATTCCAAGAGCAGATTTAGGGAAGCTAGAGGGATCCCTAGATCTGGACGCCTGTCCTTCAATTACAGAGGGCAGCTGAGGCCTGGAACCATGTGGCCAATGCCACAGAGCAAGGCCTCAAATCCCCTTTGCTACTGCATATGCCTTCCCCGAGGTGCCAGGCAAGTTGACTGCTACAGAAATTATACTCTAAGGAGCAGAGCTGCTTCTTCCAAGCTCATGGCTCTCCCTGTGGGCAGCCTGCATCCAAGGCTTTGTCCTCATGGGGGACAAAACCCAGCAGCCTCATACCCTTTTGAGACAAGCTTGTGGACCATCTAACATCTGAGTCCCTGTAGCCTGGCTGTAGCCTCTGTGGTGACTTTAGCTTCATAGTTGAGTGTCCCCTACCCACTCCTGTTTTCTTTTTTTTTTTTTTTTTTTTGTACCAGGGATCGAACTCAGGTCCTTGCATTTGCGCAGCAGGCGGCGAAACCACTGAGCTAAATCCCTGGCCCTACTCCTGCTTTCTTTATCCTCAGGTGACTGTGGCTGGGAACACTGCTTGCCTATGTTCATATTTTCCTCTCAGAGTCCCTTCCAGCAAAACATGACCAATGACAGATGGGACCAGACTTGCTTGTGGCCATATGTATGCTGGTGGCCGAGTGCAGACCCTGGGTTGGCCCCTCTGGCCATGTCTTGTAGCCCTTATGTTCTCCAGAGTTCCCATTGGTAACTTAGGGTGTGTTCAAATTCCAGATGCTCAGGCAACATTTGATAACTTATGGCCAAAAGGAGGGAAATAGGAGTTCCCTTTCCACAAAGCAATATTTGCAATGCACAATCTTGTGGTTTATCATTTGTTGCACACCAGGCCCTCTTTTAGGTATTAGAGATAGAACGGTGAAAATAGATGGAAAGCCCTGCCCTGTGTGGCTTGTCTTCCTGGGTGGGACACAATAATAAACAAGGCAGAAAAATAAACTACTTAGGAAGTTAGGTAATGGGTGTGTGTGTGTGTGTGTCTGGTGGGAGTGTGCAAATACAGGCGAGAAGTTAGAAAGGGTTTCACCAGGGAAGCAACATTTAATGAAAAGAAAGACTTGAGGAGAAAGTGAGCTAGGAACACTTGGATAGAGAGAGCAGCAGGGGTCCCACTCTCCAGGAATGGGACTACTTCTGGGGACAAGTTCTTCAAGCCTGGCTGCTAGATCTACAGTGGGTATCTACTTATTTCCTGCACAAGGGAATCATTGCCAGCAGTTCAAGAACTACTTGTGTAAATACCGAATAGTTTCTCTAATGTGAGAAACTGAAAGTGTAAATAAAGATTAAAATGGTGAAAAGAAATAATTGATAATTTGAAATAGGAAAAGGTCCAAAGGTGTAGGGGTGGTGGGAGGGGAAGGGGAAAGGAAAGAAGGGAAAGGAAAAATTATGAGAAAAGAAAAAAAATGGAAACGAAGTCTATGTAAATAGGGAAGGGTGGAGGGAGTGAAGGGCACACAGGTAATGGGGAAAAAATAAGAACCAAGAGTCATCATGTACAGGTATAAGCACCCAATGATAAATGTAAATTTATTGTATACCTAAAATGTACCAATAAAAGAATTTTAAAAAAAGAACAACTATTTGCTTGGGACTGTCACTGTCAGTAAAGATAAACCCATGGACAGAACATGATCATGATGCTAATGCTAAGAGGAAAATGAAGGAAACAGCAGGCAAGCAGATTTCCAAAATAAGGACACACTGCAGACATGCTGGGAAGAAAGTGAACAGTAGGTGGAATGAAGACTGGGACTTCCCAAGAGGCAGAATGGTCAGAGATGGCCCCTATGAGAATAGGGTGTTACTCAGAGACTCAGAGACTGCAGGGCATGATGGCCAGGATATTTGTCAGAAGGTGGGTGGTGTGAAGCTAGGAAGGGTAAATTATTAGAGGCAAAAAGGTCCTGAGGTTGGAAGGAGATCCATGGAATCTAAAATAGAAGCCCTATGGTGTGAGGATGGAGTAAGAAATGGAGCACATACCCTGCACCCTGGGTCCAAGACAAAGCCCAACTATCTTAGTTCTAAGAAATGTACCTGATATCTTGCCTGGCCCAGTAGACGATCTGACAGCCCCCTGCTGGAGGCCGAGCCTGATACTAATTTTCTCACTCATCCGTTGCTTTGTTTTGCTTTAAAAAAACAGCTTTACTGAATGAAGTATAATTGACACATAATAAACTACACATATTTAAAGTGTCTGATTTGATGAGTTTGGCGTGTGTGCACACCCACGAAACCATTCCCACAGCGAAGACAATGAACATGATCACTTCCCTCCAGCACCTTCTTGTGTCCCTTTGTGATCCCATTCCCCAACCCTCTCTGCCCTCCCCATCCCCAGGCAGATCTGCTTTTTGTCATTTGGATGAGTATGAATTTCAAAGAATTTCATAGAAATAGTCTCATATAGTATGTACTCTTTTAAAATCTCTCTTCTTTCACTCAGGGTGTAATTTTGATATTTGTCTATGTTGTGTGCATCAATAGCTTATCCCATTATAGTGCCAACTATAGTCTAGCATATGGATATACCACAGTTGTTCATACATTCACCTATTGGTGGGCATTTGTATTTTCTTCTAGCTTTTGGTTATTACAAACATAGCTGCTATGAATATTTGTATACAGTCTTTGTATGAACATATGTTTTCATTTCTTTTGGATAAATACTAGGAATGGAATGGCTGAGTCATATGGTAGGTCTATGTTTAACTTTTTAAGAAACTGCCAAAACGTTTTCAAAAGGAGTATCATTTTATACTCTAACTAACAGCGGATGAGGGTTTATTTCAGCTCCTTCAAATCCTCACCAGCATTTGGTATGGTCAGTCTTTTTCATTTCAGCCATCCAAGGTTATTTGTGGTAATATTACCTTGCAATATTACTTTTTATTTCTGCAGTTGAGTGACAATGCTAGACACTTTTTCATGTGCTTCTTTATCATCTCTATTTCTCCTTTGGTAAGACATCTATTTAAATATCATTTCCATTTTCAAATTGGGCTGTTTGTATCCATCATTTAGTTATAAAAGTTCTTCATATAGTCTAGACACAACTTTTTTGTCAGATAAATTTTTACAAGTGTTTTCTCTGAGTTTCCCAGTGCATGGCTTATCTTTTCCAGGACTTTTTGTCTTCATATGAAAATCCAGTTGGGGCTGGGGATTTAGCTCAGTGTTTCTGCCGCTGCCTTGCAAGCGCAAGGACCCGAGTTCGATCCGCGGTACCAAAAAAAAGAAAAGAAAAAAAGACAATCCAATTGTTCCTGCACCTTTTGTTAAAATGATTATCCTTTCCACATTAAATTGCCTTGAACTTTTTTGCTGCAAAAAACCAAAACCTGACCATATATGATTTGATTTCCAGATTCTGTTCTGTTCCATTGGTCTCTGTGTCCCTCTGCATGACATACCACACCGCATTGATTGCTGTGCTTTTTAACACGTCTTGTAATCACTAGCATGTGTCTTCCACATTTATTCTTTGTTTTCGATGTTGCTTTGTATAGTCTAGACCCTTTGTATCTCCACGTAAATTTGAGACATAGCTTTGAGCCTCAGCTTGCCTTCCTGCTCCAGGATGGCCCTGGGCATTTTTGATTTCTTGGGTGCCTCAGAAGAGTGGTGAGTGCAGCCCTTCTACTGTGTCCAGTGGGCAGGAGAAGACGTCCTGGGTCTCTGTCCCTCTTGCTTTCCCTGCACCCTCTACCCCTTCCTTGTTTAATTATTCAAGGAATACTTCTGGCACTTACAATTCTTGTTGTCCAATCACGGTCCATGTCGAGCACATCTTCATGGTATAGTCTTTTTTTCCTGTCAAGATCCCCATAATCAGGATTTGCAGCACGGATGAAGCCTGCATGGGCTTACCTTCATGGACTGGAAAACTTCCTGGGGTGTTCTGAGTAAACTTTGCTACAGTCATGCAGAACAGGATTAATGTCTATTTGTCTATTTGTAAGACTCAAATGGTATCACTGTCTGCAAAGTATATCAGCTGGTATCACCTGGTTATATCTCTACCAGTCATGTTAGGAAGCATGCTTGTTTTTACTATTTTGTTTTTCCCTCTGAAGTGTTGGGAAAGGACTTTATGTGACTAGATCCAAGAGAGCTTTGTCTCCCAGACAGAGCCAACAAGCACAGAACCCAACCAACCCATTAGCCACCCCAGGGTCCAAGCCGAGACAAGGGTGAGAGGTGCGAGGTGCAGAGAAGACAAAATGAATGGCCAGTGAGTGGCCTGAGAGCCATGGCACATCCAATATTGTACCCTTGGTGCCTTGTGGTCTTTACCCTCTTCTTGGCCTGGCTAAGCATTTGGCAGTAGAATGGTTACAAAACAGCGCACCTTACTGCTCAGAAGCTATGTTTTGCAGTCCCTAAATCCTTTTAAATTGACTTTTAAAATATATCTTGGCCTCCTTGGTTACTGCCATCCCCAAATCAAACCAGGCCAAGAACGTTAAGAATAGTATAACCCTCATTCCCTGAATTGAGTATTCATAAAAGGTCTTAATTAATTGTTCATATATCAAATTTTTCCTTTCAAGTGGTCCCTCCTGCATGCCAGGCCCTGGGCCATGACAGTAGAGTATGGCCTTGAGGAAGAGAGAAAAGCCCATAAATCAGGAGAGGGAAACAGGAACTGGAAGATGCTGTGAGAGAATGCCAGGGAAAGCAGCACGTGACACTGTACGTGGGTACCAAGGACAAGGAGGGCACCCTGGAGCTGGGCCTGAAGGTCATGGACATAAATCTTTATCAAAGTCATGGCAGACAATGACAACACCACATCCCAGCATTGTGCAGCAGCATTTGCTTGGTGCTGCATGGCATTTTTAACCCCCACAACAACCTAGGGCATGTACAGTTCATATGTTTTATGTATGTAGATGTGTTGCATATGTCTTGTATGATATACACGTATTGTCCCCATTTCACAGATATGAATCCCAAGACTTGGAGAGAGAGTCGGTCATTTGCTGCTAATAAGCTTAAGCTAACACGTTTAAGAGCCAAGCTCTGAATGGAGACTGTCTCATTTTATAGCCAAACATTAGCAGAGAAACATCTTTATGTCAAACAGACTCAAGTTAAACATCAAGTGAAAATATTTCAGAAACTTCAGAATACGTCCTTCTTAGAATGTTTCAATATTTTAGTTTAAGTGCGTTGAAAACACATAGCTGACACACACTCTCCGTCCTAAAGTATGTGTGCATTGAGGATTGTGAGGTTCTACTTGTGCCCAGCATGCACCGAGCTCCGGCCACAACTTTGCCCTTCACTGCATTCAGGAAGCTAAATAAGACTTTACCAGCAACAATAACACCCGTCAATTATCTGTGCTGTAGTGTAAACAATGAAATTCTTATTATGTACTCAGACTCCACAAAGCCATTGCCATGGAAACTCTGTTTTCATGTCATATCTTTAATGAATAGGTAATGAAAGAAATGCTGCATTCACAACTTCATTACTAGTTTAAGAAAAAGAAAGGCACACACACACACACACACACACACACACACATGTCTCTAACCATAAGTTTGAATTATGGGCTTGTCGTGTTTCAGAGTATGGTGAACATCAAAGAGACATTTTTCAAGGCTGTCATTTTGGATTGAATGGGTGGAGAGAAGACCAAAAAAAAAAAATTGCCCAAACCCTACTCACTGTATGGACAACTTAGGGTGTGTCAGTTTCACTCTTTGTTTCATTATGATTTTAATAATTTTGGCTCAAAATAATTCCTTTACAAATCAGTAAGCATGCTTGGGAGTGGAGAAGAGAAATTTAGAAAAGAACAGCTTGTCTCCTGTGGACACTGCTGGGTTGCCCGGCCTCTGTTTTTTGTTTTTAACAGGGTCTATTAGCTATGTTTGTCTTCTTCATGACTTTCTTGTCACAAGAAGGTGAAAGGGATCAGGTTTGCTGTGGAAGGATTCCCTTAAAAGATGGTCTAATCTTGGCTTCTAATTGCTGAGGGGATCTGTTCTTGTGACATCAGTGCCAGTGTCTTAAAAAGGACTTTTACAAGAACTATTACAACTCTTATTAATAAAGAACTAGTCATCTCCATTCTGACAGTCTGGTCACAACACTTGCATGCATCTGAAGTGACAGTGGGCATAGAGTACAGAACAACAGGAAAGGAGGAAGAGTTGACTGCACACACCGCATACACTATTGTACCTTCTGGAATATTCTCTGTGGAAATGGCTACTGCTGTGGCTCACAATCTGTGTCACCTGAATGCTATTGAGGAAATAAATCTCAGATGCAGTTTAATCTGCACAGAAAAAGAGTTTACAACTTCTGCCCATCCATCCTGTCTATCCATTTTTGCCCAGGTCTGG